TTTAACTATAATTTGATAATGAAGTATTGAAAGAGGTGAGCCAAATTGTTGGATGACCCTGAAATGAACTGAGTAGAAACAGACGCATCCGCAGATACCCCGTGTCCTCCTACTCACAGATCATACACTGCAGTTCTGAGAAGCCTCAGCCATTCTCTCTCTAAGTGTACAAGTATTACTCAATTAAATGTCATCTGAGAGAAACATTCAGCTCCTTATTTGACTCTGAACCCACATCTGACTCATAAATAAAAGAGAGGAGAATCACAAGGCAAAAGTGAAGCTAGGCACAGAGTCTAGGTGAGAAGGAGAACAATGCAGTTTGGATGCAAGAGATAAAAGAAGAAGAAAACTAAGTGGACAGAAATAGAAAATCCAAGTGATAAAACATGAGTAAAGTTCAAATCAAAAGAACCAGTCTCATCAGCAAGTGGGGTGAGTGCCTACTTACAGGCATCTCCATCTGGCACAGGCTGAGAAGACCCCAGCTTTTCCTGTCCCTCTGACTCTGGTGCTTGGCATTCACACACCAGAGACCCTTACTTTATCCTCCCTCTTTTCCCTCAGTGGAGAGTTTAACCTCTCCAGCATGTGAACACTCGGTCAGCATTAGGATAATGTGCTAGCAGACTACTCAGAAGGAGCACTTGGACATCATCAGAATATCTGGGAGCCCTGGGCACCAAGGTGGCCCAGGAAAACCAACTGAAGAAGAAAGACTCACTACAAGGTCAGCAGTTTTCTCCATAACTTGGCTTAAATCAGAAAAGTGGCCAAGAATGTAGATTGTTTTCATGGAACACCAGCACAAAAGCTCATCCATTCTGTAGGGTGACAGATTTGTCTGTAACAAAGGTATTGTGGCTATCTCCCACACAGCTGAAGTACGGCAGTTCTGAGAGCCTGGGGCCTGTTAAATGTTTTCGTCTAAACACTTTGGGAACAGTTGTTTCTATGACTCTAACCAAGCTGGATGTCTGCATAACACTCTCCCATGGGGCAATGTGGACCCCTTCAGTAAGAGCACATGGATAACTGCATGGATCAGGGTCCCTGACACAGCCGCAAAACAGCCGGCATTCAGGAGATGCACTTTAACATCTGCATTATTCTAAGAGTCGGCTTCATAACTTGTTTCTGAAGCTTTTAGTCTTCTTTGCTCTGCACGCGTCTTCCTCTTCACTGTCATGCTGACGCCTCTGCCATCTGTCCACCCACAGATGTGCAAGCTGCAGTTTTCTCCTGCTTGGATCCAGAAGCTCTGAGTCCTGCTCCAACAGATCTGCCAATAATGTTACCCTCCGGGCTCCTCTGCTCCATCGCACACAACGTCCCTGACACCAGGAATGCCCTTGGCTCCACAGCAAAGCTCTCACTACCACAGAGCCTTCTCTTTCCTCTGTGTAACTTTACCAAAATGTTCACGATAAAGAAATTTTCCCACATTTTAATATGATAAAGGTACATCTGTTTCCCTCGAGCCAGCTAGGGTCAGAAGTGCGGTCCTCTTATCACTGAATCCTTACAGAGTTTGTCCAGTTTGGACACTGGACTCTGAACAAATGATGACTGAGTGAGGAAAACGAGTGAGGGAGGAAATATAATTTTAATTTCCAACTCCATTAATACATAACACCGGAATATATGAATGCAGAATTCACATGGCTAAGTATAAAGAGGAGTTAAATCTTACAGATGACTACATGGTCTTGTGGAAATGCATAACCTTAAATGCACATTGTAAAGATAGAAAAAATCATGGGAAAATAATCTATATTATTCTAGAAATAAAGTTCAGTAAAGCACTGTGTGTAGCTGGAAAAGACATCAGATAGGGTTCCGACTCGTGTCTGACGGATCGTGTGAACTATCCTTCACTGTGTGAGCACGCTCAAGTCACAGCCTCAACCAACTTCATTCCCTTACAAATATAACAATGAAGATGTTGGACAAAACTGGTGTTTCTCAGCCTGGCCTAACTGCAGTGTAAGAATCACCCAGAGAGTATTTGTCAACAAGGCTGAAAGGGAAGAGATGTGTTTTTATTTTTAACCAATATTTCAAGTATTTTTCATCAAGAAAGTCTAGGAACTTTCAGAGTAAGTGATTCGAGAGCCTCGGGAACTCTAAGGATCAAATATAGCATGACTCATTTCTCTGAAGTGCTAAAGCAGAAAACACAAAAATTCAACGTCTTGGTCAAATATTCATCATCTGTCTCTTCAAGGTACAAAGGAGGCAGTCTTAGAGATTCAAAATACTTAAGAAAAAAGCATAATTGGTCTTCTGAGAAATAAACAATATATGAAGCTTGTACAAGCTATATTTGCTTATAGTTGTGTTATAAGGCAAACCGCAGCCTGTATGAACACAAGAAGAGAGTCAGTGAATGCACCTGGGGGAAGCACGGAAGAGAGAGCATTTGAGAGGCTTTGAATGTGGGTAATAGTACTTGATTCAAATAAAGCTGAATTTTTCTTCCTCCACAAGTTTATTTAATAATATGCCTCCAGGCCATGAACCACTCACCACCCTCTATCACGTTTATGCACCGTCTCTAATTTCTTATGCTTAATATCACTTCTTTTTTTTTTTTTTTTTGGTACTGGGAATCGAACTCGGGTCCTTGTGCTTGCGTAGCAGGCGGCAAAACCACTGAGCTAAATCCCCGGCCCTTAATGTCACTTCTTAATAGCGCCATAGAGGGACAGGTGAACCTGCAAGACAGCTGAAGGCGACAATTCTGATGTTTATGCAAAGTAACACTTCAGTTACACCTAAGGTAGCCAGTGTTTAAGAACTGCTGGCCGGGCAATGTTCTAAAATCTCTGCATCCATTAATTTTTATATCTGTAAATCATCCTGTGTGGCTGGTAGGTTTTAGCCCAATTTTACAAAGGAAGGAAGAGAGACACAGAAGGGTACTCAAGTTCCCCTCGGCCATCAGGTGGCCCCTGTGGTCACTTGGTAAACAGAGTCCAATCTTTTGATACTGAACCTTTGAGGCTGCGATTTGAACTGATGCATAATCTACCTCTGCTTCTAGACTTTATAATTCCAACCAAAGATTTCTTAACAGAAGAGATTTATATGCTTAAAATAAATCACTTTCACAAGCTGTAACCTAACAATTTCCTCCGTGATAACTGTGCATTCCACTGTGCATCACCAGCTGGACTGTCAAATTACCTCAGTTACAGTTTTCCCCTTCAGGCAGCACAGGGCCACTGAAGAAATGGAGAAGTTCCCTTTTTACAATGGAAGAGATAAGCACAGGCCACCTTGAGTTCTGCAAATGCTTTTCTCCTTTCAAGTTATTGAGTTTTCTACTTTTAGTCTTCAAGAGAATCTTTATCTTCCATGATGCCTCACAAGACTAAATGAAAATAATGGCTTTCCAAACTCCAACTGACCATCTCTTCTGTTGAATTTGCATCTACAAAAGACCTCAACGTGGTGAGTTATTTATTTAAGAAATGCTTATAGTAGATTTCCATCAAACTGATTGCCCTTTTGTTGGGAAAACATTGAAATGTACATCTGTTCATTACTAGTCACGGTCAAGTTTACAGGTTATAACATAGCTAAGTTTACTAAGTAATCCATAGAAGGAAATAAATGAAAATCTTGAAATGTTGAGAATGATTCATAATACTGAAGACACAGCAACAAGAAAAGAAGTTGATATATATTCCAGTGTCCTGGGAGTAAAAAAGATAGACTAGTTGTATAGCCATATGTCATTTGATGTCATATTCTTTTTTCAGCTGCACAAATAATTTTGTCTTGCTTCTTTTTTATTGTATGTTTGCAATACACCCAGTGATGTGTTTGGGGTTCACTGGTACATGTGTATCACACAGCTTGACAATTTTCAGTCACTTTTCTCCCATCCCCCTTACCCCTCCATGACCCTCTTCTCCACTTCCAAAAGGCCTACCTTCTTGCACCTGTCATTGCTTGCTTATTTTACAGACTTATTTGTATTTTAGGTTTCTCATATAAAAGAACATTTTACTTTCTTTGTCTGACTTATTTCACTTAATATTATGGTCTCAAGATCCATCCATTTTCCGCAAATGACATGATTTCATTCTTCTTTACGGCTAAATAACATTCCACTGTGTGTCTGTACCACATTTTCTTCCTTCCTTCATCTGTGAATGGGTATCCAGGCTGCTTCCAGAGTTTAGCTGTTGTGAATTGTGCTGCTATTTGTAAGGTATGCATGCGTCACTATAGTAGGATGTCCTTCATTCTTTCAGGAATATAACCAGGAGACATAGAGCTGGCCAAATGGAATTTCTTTTTTTAGCTTTAGGGAATCTCCACACTGATTTTCATGGTGGTTATACTAATTTATATTCCCACAAGTGACATAGAGGAGTTCCTTTTTCTCCATGTCCTTGTCAGCAATTTTTATTTTTTTATGTCCTTGGTGATGGCCATTCTGACTGGAGTAAGAGGCAACCCCAGAGTTGTTTTGATTTGCATTCCCCTAATGGCCAAAGATGCTAAACATTTTATCAATGTGATTATTAGCCATTTGTACTTCTTTTTTTTGGTTTTGTTTGTTTGGTTTTGGTACCAGGTATCGAACTTGGGTCCTTGCGCTTTTGAGGCAGGAGGAGGAACCACTGAGATAAATTATTTGTACTTCTTTTGAGAAGAGTTTATTCAGTTCATTTATTCAGTTCATTTCCCTAATGGCCAAAGATGCTGAACATTTTATCAATGTGATTATTGGCCATTTGTACTTCTTTTGAGAAGAGTTTATTCAGTCCATTTTTGGATTGGGTCATTTGATTTGGGGGGTTAATAATGTTAGTTCTTTACATATTTTAGATTTTAGTCCTCTACAAGAATAGTACTGGGAAAGCTTTTTCCCATTTAGGTTGTCTCTCCACTCTGTTGACTGTTTCCTTTGGCGTGCAGAAGCATTTCGATGTAGAGACATTACAGTACGCTCGCCTGTCCTTTCAGGACAATGGTGATCAGCCATGGAGAGAAACAATGAGACTCTCACCACAGACTTCATTCTCCTGGGACTCTGGCCTGAATTCCACCACCTCGTTATGCTCATCTGCCTCGTCCTGCTGGTTTACTTTTTGGCTGTCGTGGGCAATGGGGTCCTCATTCTCCTCATCCTGCTGGACTCCCGGCTCCACAGCCCTATGTATTTCCTGCTCAGCCAGCTGTCCTTTATTGACTTCGCCTTGATCTCCACTACGGTCCCCAAAATGGCCACAAACTTCTTCTCAGGGCAGAGAACCATATCACAGGTTGGCTGTGGAGCCCAGATCTTTATTAGTCTAACCCTGGGAATTGCTGAGTGCTTCCTGCTGACATTCATGTCCTATGACCGCTACATCGCCATCTGCAACCCCCTGAGGTACTCGGGCATCGTGAGCCACACAACCTGCACACAGATGATCATAGTATCCTGGGGAGGAGGGGCAGTCACGTCCCTGGCTCATACGGCCTATGCCATGCACTTCCCCATCTGCCACCCCAGAGTGATCCCACACTTTCTGTGTGAGGTTATGGCTCTCTTAAAACTCACGTGTGAGGACATTTCTGCATATGTGAAGTCGGTGGTGGTCTCCAGCTTTCTGGTGGTTCTTGTTCCCCTGAGTCTCATTCTGGCCTCCTACACCCTCATTTTCCTTGCTGTCCTCCACATGAACTCTCTTGAGGGCAAGAACAAGGCTCTGGCCACGTGCTCCTCCCACCTTTGTGTGGTCACCCTCTACTTTGGCCCCGCCATATTGGTTTACATGAGGCCTGGCTCCTCTACGACTCCCAAATTAAACCAGTCTCTCTTTATATTTAATGCCATCCTTACCCCTATGCTTAATCCACTCATTTATAGCCTGAGAAACAAGGATGTCGTAGCAGCTTTAAAGAATACAGTCATCAGTAGATGTCCCTCACGAAAGATGAAAAACCACTGGGATAGCTGTAGTTGATTACAGTTTTATAAGGCATATTTCTTTCAGTTGCTCTTAAGAGATTTAGGACTTGACAAACTCTATCATGAGATCTATAGATAAGTTAGAGGCCATTTACTTCAATGCTCTTGCATGTCACTAAAAATAAAGGGTAAAATAAACTATGCATGACCTCAAAGCACCATCCAAAGGACCACTTCTTCTGACTTAAAATCCTGAATCTAAGTACTGCTCTCCAATTAGTACATTTTGACTCCCATGTGCCTGAGACACAAATACATTCATCTCCCTAAGCATGCTCATGAAGAGGAAGGTCTAATCTTCTCCTTAGAACAAGACAATTGACATTGTTGGGTGGGCTCAGGAAGTCAAACTTCCAGACTGGGAGTCTGAATTGACATGAGATTAAAACCATCTGTTCTGCCTTGAATTGATGAAGGAGTCAGTGAACAAAATCACACAGCTGCAACTCAAGTCATTATGCTTCATGAGTCAAAAGAGAAAAACTTCCACTTTCTTGGACCAACAAGTATTTTTTCTCTGTACTTCTTTTCAGTTTATACTCACTTTTGTGCCTCAAATCAGAGCATGTAATCTTTCCCTGACAATCAGAATGAAATAACAGCACCTCCCTGCTAGCATTGCTGTGGGGATCAATTCAGCTCAAATACGTGAATCCTTCGAGCCAGTGCCAACAGGGAGTGAGTGCCATGTTATGCAGACTGTGCATTTGAAACCCAGCTGTGCTCCTATCACTCATTGCAGAACTAAGACAACTCAGCTTTTTAAGGCCTTCTAGGCATGACGAGTGGGGCCTTATGTTATATGTAATAAAAATGAACTGTAATTATTTTAGGCTGAACACCTAAGATTGGAAGTTAAAATCAGGCTAGTCAAGGATGGGACAAAACATACACCCACACTTTTCTAGAATATAGATGAAATCTAAATTTTTATCTAAAATGTAAGAACAGAAAGTTGGTACTTTCCTAATAAAAATTTAGCAGTCAAATTTAGGTCATGTTGTGTTTGGATCGGAAGTGTCTCTGAAAAACTCATGTGCTGAAGGCTTAGTCCCTGGGGCAGCAAGGTTGAGGGGTGCGGCCTCTATGACTGGGTCATCAGGGCCAGGACACCACAAGAGTCTCAGTGTCATTGGGCCCTAACGTCACTGATGGACTGACCCACTGGCGCACTCACAGCCGGATGGGCTACTGGGCGTTGCTGCGCTCGTCCAGAGGTGGGGCCTGCTCTGGCAGGGTATTCTCTCTCCCTCTCCATCCCTGCCCCCTTCAGAGCGACACGAGATGCCCACTCCCCACCTGTTCCTCACTAAGATGTTCTGTACCCAGGAACCGTGGAACCAAGTACCCATGGACTGAAACCTCAAAATCTGTGAGGCAAAATAAATCTTTTCTGCTTTAAATTGATTTTTCTCAAATTTTGTCACAGCCACAGAATGCTAACACAGACTGTAATTGTTACAGAGAACAGTAATGTATCACCACTGTCAGCCTCTGCCATGCACCTACAGTCTCTTGACTGAAAACGTGTGACATTAAGTAAAGATACCCATTCGGCCGAGGCCCAGGAAGGACATCGCCAAGGGACCTTTGTGGATGAGTCCAAGTCAGCGTGTCATGACCCAGTGCTCCAGCAAGCACTTCCGCTCCCCCTAAGAAGAACCACCTTAAACAAAACTTCCCCCTTCCCTCCGGCCCGGGCTGGACTTGGCTGCTGGGTATGAAGTTTGTGTTTGTTTGGTTGCTTGCTTTACTTTAGTGGATTTACCATGACTTTTAGTTTTAGAAACAGACCCACATCGCTGCCCTCATTTACGACTCCTAGTATATTTTCATGTTCTGTCGTTTGTCACAAATCATCATTTGAAGACAAGTTGACTTGATTATTACACAATAAATGTGTCATGAACAATGCAATTGGCTTTTCAACTGACGAATCATCTTTGCATCTTCACCTGGGTGACAGTGCCCATTGCGTATCAACAATTCTAGGTGCCTTTTAGAGAAGTCTCACCTGCCTTCGTAGTGAGAAAAGTTTGTAAATAAGTTCTTTTATTACTTTTACTGAAGCATAATAAAACATAATATTTGTACAGCTTTTATGCCATACATTGTGATAATTTCATACTTGTTCACAGTGTATAATGATCAAGTTAGGGAAATAAGCACTTCTACCTCAACAGTTAATCATTTTCAAATGACTGGAAATTTCACACACTTGGTTAGCTTGAGACGCAGTGTAGACTTCTGTAACCAGTAGATACTGCACTGTCTTATGGAAACCAGCATGATTCCTCACTTCTGTGTTTGGAGTGCCTTATACGACTGCTTTCTCTCTCCTCCTGGCTCCCCTTCCCAGGCCCCAGTGACCACTCCTTTACCCTCTTCTTTTATGAGACAGACTTTTAGTTTCCACACAGGAGTGAGGACCTGTAATGCCTGTCTTTTCTCATTTAACCTTCAATGTCCAGTTCCATCCTCGTTGCTACACATGGCAGGATTTCATTTTTGTTCCTTACGTATTCTAAATATTAATCCCCTTTTAGATAGTTTGCAGGTATTTTCTCCCATTCTGTAGGTTGTCTCTTAATTCTGTGGTTTTCTTGCTGTGCAGAAGCTTCTTAGTTTGATATAACCCAATTTCTGTGTTCACTTCTGTTGCCTGTGCTCTGGGCTCTTATCCAAAAGAACTTTCATGTTTTCTAATAGAAATCTCACTGTTACAGGTCTACATTTAGGCCTTCATTCTTGCTTCAGATGATTCTGATGTGTACACTACAAGGTAGTTACCTAGTTGATGCTCCAGATATGCACAGCCAGTTTTCCCAACATCGCTTATTGAAGAGACGGTCTTTTCAGTACTGCATATTCCTGATGCATTTGTCAAAATCAGTTTGCTGTACAAACATAGATGACTCTTTGGGTTCTTTATTCTCTTTCATTCATTGGTCTACACGTCAGTTTTTATTCTGGTGACATGGTTTGTTGGTTTCTATAGCTTTCTAGAATATTCTGAAACCTGCTATTGTGATGGCTCCAGTTATGTTTGAAGTCGTTTTGGTTTGTTGTGTTATTTTTGTTCAGGATAATTTAGGCTATTCTAGGTCTTCTGTGGTTTCACATAAATTTCAAGATTGTTTATCTCTCTTCCTGTGATAAAAGTTATAGGTATTATGATGGGAACTGCACTGAATCTACAGATTGCCTTGGGTAGCTATCTTAGTTAAGGTCTCATTGCTGAGACACAAAACCTGACACGACACCCACAACCTCAAGGAGAGGTTTATTTAGCTCACGGTTTGTGGGGCTTTCAGGGCAGAGTTGACTGGCTCCAAGGCAGGGCGGTGTGGCAGAGGGGCCTGGCAGAGGTGGCTTGCTCAAAGCACGCCAGCAGGAAGCAGAGACAGAACGCTCAAGGGCAGAGGAGGAGACAGACCCCTGCAGGGCCCTGTATGTGTGAACATAGATTACACAGGCCCTTACAGGCCACACACCCACTGACCTTCTGCCAGGCTTCACCTCCCAGCATCATATTTAGCTATAAACCCATCAGCGGACGAATCCAGTGATGCATATCAGGCACCCATGATCCAAGCACCTCCCAAAAGCCCTGCCTATGAGATAAGAGATTTGGGGGAATGTGTAGGTATAAACCATGACAGCATGCTTGTTATCAATGTATAAAATGAGACTGGGTTTTGTACACTGATTTTTTTATCTTGAAACTTTACTGAATTGGTTTATTCAGTACTGGCAGCTACTTTTTTAATTAGTGCATGTTAATAGTACAGAAAGATGAAGATCATTGTGGAAATTTAGTGCATGTATTTAACATTTCTTGGTCCCTTAAAATCCCATTAACCCCCAACTTTTCTTACTCCTCCCCAAAATAAATCCCCATCTCCCAAAGTCTGCCTTTCAGTTTCCTGACATAGCTCCCTTCTTCATTTACTTATTCATTTAATTATTTAACTAATTTAATAGGTTTTTCACTTAATAAAATATGCAACATTTAACTTTCTGTGTCTCTTGGCTTTCATAAAATCTTTTTACATTGGTGCATGTTAATATTACATGACAATGGGGTTTACTTTGGGGAGTTGGTGCATACATGTAACATATCTATCAATTTGAATCCCGGTTCTTTTTTCCTCCTCCCTCCCACTGTCTGCTTCCATGTCTCCAGAGCTCTACCCCCTGGTTTCCTGTCCTCTCTTTTATTTTAATTATATATTTGTCAATTTATTTCTAAGGTTTCACACATAAAAGAAAGCATGAGATATTGAACTTTGTGATCTGGGTAATTTCAGTTGGCATGTTGGTTTCCACACCATCCATTTTCCTGCAAATAAGATTATTTTATGTTTCTTTATGACTGAGTAATACTGCACTGTGTATACATGAGATATGATCTATACATGTGGTGAATGTTTAAATAAAACGTGTATTACAGTAGAAGACTCACTGATCCCCTCAAGTCCTCCCTCTCACTTCAAACACACTTACTCCACGGTGCTTGCCACTTTCTGAAGCAGTTCCGAAGTCCTCTTTCATGAGGGCCTTTACAAGGTAGGATCAAAAACACAGTGAACAGTGCTGTCAGCGCCACCCAACACAAAGGCACGCATCCACCTTATTCACCAGATCTGGCACCGCACAGCTTGCAGCTCTTCCTCAAAGTCCAAACGACCATGAAAGGTAAATGTCTTGGATTAAGGACATCATGGCGGCCGCACTGGCACCACTAAAGACACTCGGGAAACAGACCTTCCAGAGCTGCTGCAGAAAGTGGCAAGAACTATTGGTTAAGTGTTCAAAGCAAAGGGGATTATTTTGAAGAGAATTAATGGGAATGTGGTTTTTGCTGTATTAGCTTTTATTTAAACATTTACCATATTTTGTCATACCTCATATCCCACATTTCATTTATTTATTCATTGGTTTATTGTCATCTAGGTTGCCTCCAGAGCTTAGCTATAATAAAATGTGGTGCAA